AAAAATAGATCCCTTAATTTGGGACCCTATACACTACTAAAGGTACTAAAGGGTACTTTACCGGAACCCCTGAAGGGATCTACTTATCTGACGATTAGCTGCCTGGACCCTTAGCCCGAAACCCTAAACCCCTAAACCCTAAACCCCTAAACCTCTAAACCCTTAAACCCCTAAGCCCTAAACCCCATTAAGATCTGGCTCCCCAGACTGAGGATTTAGGGTTTAGGGGTTGTTTAGGGTTTAGGGGTTTAGGGGTTTAGGGTTTAGGGTTTAGGCATGCGGGCAAAGGGGTTTGGGTCCCAGTTTGGGCTTAGGGTTTAGGGGTTTGGCTTTAGGGTTTAAGCTTTAGGGTTTAGGCTTTAGGAGTTAGGGTCCCAGTTAGACTTTAGGGTTTAGGGTTTTGGGGCTAGGGTTTAGGGTAGTCCTTAGATACTGTTCTGTTGTCTATCTCCGAAGGGCAATCAGAATCATTCTGGCCTTTGTAAATGAGGGGTTAGCATCTACACCACTCTTGTGTGAAGGTATTGGGAGTTATTTGAAGGTACTGAGTCCTCTTCGAACCTGCGCAGAGACGGAAAGGGACCCTAAGAGTGCTAAGTATTTCTACGCTTGTGTAATGGCAATGCCCAAGGCTTTTAACCCTAAGCCTTAACTTAAGCTCCGAACCCTAAATCCTAAGCCCAAAGCCGAATGGCCAAAACCCTGGGAGGTCCTCAGGCAGCAGCCAGAAAACAGCAGCAGCCGCAGCAGCCGCAGAAGCGCCCTTCAGTCGAAGGACGAGGAGATGATACGATTGCGGCATCAAATCGATACGGAGAAGGTGCGCCTAGTACCAGAGGCGCCGATTGCGAGGAGCAGGAGAGTGTCGAAACCACAAGTTCCCGACCTCTAAACCCGAAGCCCTAAACCCTAAATGTTTAGGGTTTAGGGCTCCCTAAACCTTACGACCCCTAAACCCTAAGCCCTGAACCCTAAATCTAGCTGTAGCACACATTTTACGTTTTACAATTCCCTAAGCCCTGCTGGTACCGGTACTATAGAAGCTTGGACAAGTAGTACAGAATACCAGGGTTTAGGGTTTAGTGGTTTAGGGTTAGGGTTCCTTGGCGTTCCCCGATTCTAGTCGTTAAGGCCTTCTTGTAATGACTTCACGCCGCTCTCTTGCCTAACTCCGAAAGTCAGCCTTCAAAAAATCCAAAGCTGGCCCAAACCCTATAACCCCAAACCTAAGCCCTATAAACCCCATAAGCTTCAAATTCTAGATCTCATTGTTTCAAGTTTATACTTCTTCAGTGCTTAGGATTTAGGGCTTACCTGGACCTCAAGAAAACTAAACTTTCAGGGCTCATTCTTGTGGCTCCTTAAACGCATCCTTAGAAGAGTAGGGTTTTTGCGGAGTTCCTGCAAGGTCCATTCAAAACTCCCTTGAAACCCTTCATCCTGAATAGACCCTGTTCTCCAATGCCCAACATTTTAATACTTTTTGGTGTCTTACGATTTGGTAGCAATCTGAAAGTTTAACCTTTCCCTTGCTTCTTGGGGAAGTTAAGAAAACCAGAGCCTTAAAACACCACTATCCTCATGCCCCCAAGGTATAGTAGAGGATATCCCAGCACTAACCATTAGCCCTAAACCCTAAACCCTAAACCCTAAACCCTAAACCCTAAACCCTAAACCCTAAACCCTGAACCCTGAACCCTAAACCCTAAACCCTAAACCCTAAACCTAAACCTATAGGGCCTATTCTATCTTACTGGCCGTAGCGGGTTCAGAGTTGCTGTCGAGGCGATGCGTGGTCTCCTCGCAAGCTGTCAGCAAGGGTTTAGGGTATAGGGTTTAGGGTTTAGGGGGAGGTTTTGTGGTGTAGGGTTCCTTTAAAGCGTTCCATATTAGGGCTCCTTCAAAGGGTTCTAAATAGGGCTCCTTTACAGGATTGAGGGTTTTAGGGTTTACGGTCTTGGTTTCAGGGTTTCAGGGTTCGGGTTGCTTTGGGTTTCAGGGCTTGGGGGTGTTAAGTCTACGGATTGTAGGGTCCAGTAAGTTTGCATACCCAGCAGGCAACCTACACCCTGAACCGTTCTGAGGGTGGTTCTGATCGTTTGCATAACTCGGCCCCTAAACCCTGGGACCCTAAACCCTAAACTTCTGCGCCGTTATGACATGAGGGTGGTTCTGATCGTTTGCAGAGCCCTAAACCCTGGGACCCTAAACCCGAAACCGGAGCATGTTTAATTCGCATAAGAGTTAGAGCTGGGTCGCGTTTAGGGCTATGGTTTCGTTTTGGTGAGGGTTTAGGGCTTTGGGCTTTGGTTTAGGGTTGAGGGTTTAGGGTCTAGGGGTTTAGGGCTTAGGGCTTTGGTTTAGGGTTGAGGGTTTAGCGTCTAGGGCTTTGGTTTAGGGTTGAGGGTTTAGCGTCTAGGGGTTTAGGGCTTAGGGTTTGGGTTTAGGGTTTAGGGTTGAGGGCTTTGGGTTCATGTATTGTTGGAGAGTTTCACGAAGGCGTGATAGGGTTACTGCAGTCCTCAGCCCTATGCCGCAGCGCTTGCATCCGCGGCCTGAAACCCTAAACCCTGTACCGTAAACTCTTTGTGAGCGATTTAGGCGATGCTCAGAGTGTTGTGGTTTGAGGGCATAGAGGCCTTTGCAATTCGATCAGTATTCCTCATTATAGTGTTTAGTTCCCCTACCCCTCCCGGACACAAATACTGAGTGTGACAGGTACTTTTTTTTGGATGACTTATGTTTTGGTTAGGTTTCTATGATAGGAAACAAAGGTAACCAAAACAAGGTACTGCATCTTAGGGTCTGGGTGTAGCTTCTAGATCCTTTAAGGGCGCCTTTCACAGGCCCCCGTATTATGGCTTGAGGTGTGAGGTCTTAAGGCTTACTGTGAGGTTCATGGGTAGTTATAATTAGGGTTACAAGTCCCCGAATATGGGTTATAAGTATAGTTACCGTATTTATAACCCCACTTATTACTACCCATGAACCTCCAAGTGCAGGAGCTGCTCCCAGCGTCGAAGTTCAGGAATGCATCAAGGGTTCCAGGATTGAAACATATATCAGACAATATGTTGAAATTCTGCTTGCAGTGCATGAAGTGCTACGACAACTTCATAAACGACGTGACCCTAAAGTGAGGGTGAAATCTCTCCTTCTGCTTCTGCGAAGAGTTCCTTGCCGCGAGCGTTTCGCTTATTCCTGCATTCCGGCAGATGACGAAGCTGCTCAGACACAAATGATGCTGAGGATCCAAGTACCTGATAATCATACTCTCCCAAACCTACATAACTACTATCCGAAACCTAAGTACCTGATTATTGGGTGCTTTGGACCCTTGGGGTGAAGTGCTGGCATTACTCTTTGCGGTGCTTGCGGCGGGAGGCTGTCGCGAGTTCACTTTGCATGTGCCTTGAAGCGTTGGCAGGCCCAGCTGAACCATTTGGGTCCGTAGTATTTGTTGTGCTGTGAACTGTGTATGTCTCTCAAAACATAAACACAGACATGGACGCAAGTGACGCAAGGTTCTCAACTACGTTTAGGGTTTAGGGTTTAGGGTTCAGGGTTTAGGGTTTAGGATTTCGGGTTTAGGGTTTAGGGTTTAGGGTTGAGCGTTTGGGGTTTAGCCCAGGACCCCCCCAACTATCCTCTAGTCTAAATACCCACGATTAAGGACCATCAACAGTAAGGGCTCTATTTAGGGGTACTTGGGGGTTGCTGGACAACTTCCGACCCCAAGCCTACACCATAAACTCGAAACTAAAAGTCTAAAGCCGTAAACTTAAACCTTAGACCTTAAGCCCTAAATCGCAGCCTAAAGACCCGACTCTAGATGCCCACAGAACTACCACTGTGATTCAGTCCTTAGGTTTCTTGAATATAGCTAAGATACCTATGAACCTCATTCCAACTGTTACGGCTGAGTTTTGGGTTTAGGGTGGGATATGCAACTTCTGGATGCTGCGGAAAAAGGAAGGTTATAGTTATAGCATTTTGTAGTATGTTAAAATAGCATATCTGTAAGGGTACTAGTTTACTGGAAGTCACTGTATCTCTGCTCTAGTGTTTCAATTAAGGTGCGCACCTTCAAGCTCTAACAGGTGAACGGGGTTGCAATCCTAAGCCTTAAACTTCCCTAAACCCTAAAACCCTAAACCGCTCAAAGGTAGATTTTTCAACCTTCAACGGAAGTGCTGCGGACACGGCCTGCGCTTGGGTGAGGCGATGGAATCCCCTTCATGGTTTCGGGGCGTAGCCCTACGGGTTAATGTGCCTAGATAGTGTATAGTTTGGCCTTAAAGCAGTCCCTATTACTGTTTGGGTAGTTTGGGCCAACGTATCTACTATCTGGGCGCATGCACCCTTAGGGTAGATAGTAGTACTAGGACGTCTGCCTTTGGGGCTGAGGGTGTGGAATTGAAGGTTGGGAGGTTCGAGTCGAGGTATTGCGGCTTCCGGGTTCCAGGCTCCGGGTGGGAATTTTGGGTTTTGGCCCTTGGGGTTTAGGGTTTTTATAGGCTTCGTCGAAAGATGTTCAAAGTTCAGAGGAGCATTTTAGTCTAGGACATTTTCAAGCGGGCAGTTTCCATTATAGAAGCCTTCTACAAGGTTTATATACCTTATAGAAGCCCTTTCTGCCCTAAACTCCCTACCTGTAGATTCCTTTAATTTAGGGCACACTAAACCCTAAACCCTAAACCCTAAACCCTTTTTAGGAATCATGACTCATGACTCAAGGTTTGGTGTTCAAGCTGCACCCGGCACCCTGAACGCTAAACCGCTCATAGAACTCTTCACGGAACCAAAGCACCCAATAATCAGGTACTTAGGTTTCGGATAGTAGTTATGTAGGTTACTATTTGAGATCAGGTACTTAGGTTTCGGATAGTAGTTATGTAGGTTACTATTTGGGATCAGGTACTTAGGTTTCGGATAGTAGTTATGTAGGTTACTATTTGGGGTCAGGTCCTTAGGTTTCGGATAGTAGTTATGTAGGTTACTATTTGGGGTCAGGTACTTAGGTTTCGGATAGTAGTTATGTAGGTTACTATTTGGGAGAGTATATGGTTATTAGGTACTTGGACCCTTAGGGGTTTTGCAGAACCCTTAAGCGGCATCCCAGACCAGGTCCTTATCCTAAGCTTCTAAGTACTTGCATAGTATGTACTTAGGCTCTACAGGGGTTCCTGTGTAGGCACTTTGAGGCTTAAGACAGGATCTACATATGGGCACATGGAGCCTTAGACCTTGAACCTTATAGAGCCCTTGGTAGAACCCTTCAAGGATCTACATGGAGCCGTAGAACCCTTGTAGAACCCTAGGTAGCACCTTGAAGGATCCCTTAAAGGAGCCCTCTGTAGAACCCTCAAAGGATCTAAACCCTAAGCCCTAAATCCTAAACTTGAACTCTAAGTTCTGAACCCCTAACTCCCACCTAGACCCTTAACACTAAACTCCTAAACCCTTGACTCCCTCAACCCTATAGAACCTCTAAAGGATTCCTTAAAGGATCCCTTACTTAAAGGATCATGGGACTTACTAAGTAGGGTTATAACTAAGGTAACCATACTTATAACCCCAACTAGGGGACATACAACCTTACTTACTAAGTCCCATGATCCTTCAAACCCTAAACCCTAAACCCTAAACCCGGATCTACCCTGGGGCCCTAGGGTGCTTTGAAGTCGCAGAGCTCGAGATCTGAAATCCGGGGTTTGTGGAGTTTCGAATGTTTACACCCTAAACCCTAAACCCTAAACCCTAGGGTTGGGTCTAGGGATAAGGGTTTAGGGTTGAGGGTTTAGGGTACTGGGATTCGACGAATTACAAGGCTTCAGGGTTGAGCTAGGGGTTTAGGGCTTTCGGGTTTTAGGGTTTTTAGGGTCTAGGGTTTTCGGGTGTTGGGGAAGTTAGTGTTAAGTGCGTTTGGCGTTCATGGTCAGGATTTTCAGGATTCAGCTAGGGTTTAGGGTTTAGAAGTTTAATTTCCAGCCTTCGGCTCTTTGGTTAAAGGCTTGTCGAGCCAAGCTGTTCATGATTCTAAACCCTAGCCCGACAGGTGCCTACTATTATAGGACCCTACAAACTCTAGTACCCTATATAGCAGGTACCCGGGGGGGGTTAGGGAAACCCTAAACCCTAAACTCCCATGCCCCAACAGCCAACCCTAAACCCAAATACGCAGGACGCATCGACACGTCTGGAAAGATTGGCTTCCGAATGCAACGCCGCCTTGCGTGCACTGGCCGTGGAGAACCGAACGACACAACCAGGAGGCTTCATGTGTAGTACATCTTGTACTATACGTCCTTTGTGGGATATTAGAGCCCTTAACCCTTCAGTTTCATGTCCTTTGTGGATCTTAGAGCCCTTAACCCGTCAGCTTCATGTCAATGTGCTTCTTTGGGAAGCTTACACGCCAAAACCCTAAACCCTAAACCCTAAACCCTCAACCCTAAGCAACCCACAGTGGAGGCACTTTCACCTCCCCTCACGACCGGATCTTGCCATCCCAGTTGGACTGCCAAAACCCCGAACCCTAAACCGTGGTTCGTCCAGACATCAGCATAGTAGGGCTTAGGGTTTAGAGTATATTATTTTGGGGGTTCCTTATTGTAATCATAGTATAATGGGCCCCAAAACCCTATTCTAATTATAAACCCTAAGCCCTACACCCTAGACGCACGAAGCTTTCAGCATTGAGCCATGTTCCAATTGATCTTGGCTTGGATTACTTGAAGGATCATGGGACTTAGTAGCCAGGGTTATAATTAAGGTAACTAGACGCATAAGTGCTTATCACCCCTATGACGGTACTTATAACCTTACTTACTAAGTCCCATGGTCCTCCAAGTAGGGTGGCTTTCAGGACTTTTGTACTTTTGTGTTCGTCTCTCTTGCCATGGAGAATTACTACTGAACTTTCGGAAATTTTCGGATGGTTTCAGATTCAGAACTCCCGTAGAGTAACCCTACACCCGAAGCCTCCAAACCCAAACCCAGCACACCGCTAGAGCATCCTCTCTGAACGGCAACAGGAACCTTGAAGAAGAAGCCTTGAAAGATACCTTCCCGGCGAAATCGCTGAGGTTCTGCAATCCCGGCTATGGCCTCGTCGATCAGAACAGCAGCTTCGTGACACGAGGACGGGAATTAGGGAACCCAATACCTCCGCCAAAGTACCGAGAATCTAGGGTTTTCGGTTTGAGGGTTCAGAGAGGCCTGCATTGGAGGGCGGGGGAGGGCCCTAAACCCTAAACCCTAAACCCTAAACCGGGGGTGTAGGGTTTAGGGGAAGGGCAGATTCTGCTGGCGCAGCGCCACCAGCTGCAGCAGTGGCCAGAGGTGACGAATGATTAAGGTCAAGTGCTGGGGCCATAGGGTTGGTTAGGGTTTAGGGCCGTTTGGGAGTTTGTCGGGTTCAGGGTTTAAGGGTGTTAATACTGCACGACCCTAAACCCCAAACCCACTAGACCCTAAACCCTAAACCCTAAACCACTAGACCCTAAACCCCCTAAACCCTTTAGGGGATTGTTTAAGACTTTTCAGACAGAGCCTGCTGCGGCCTGAGGGTCGCAGTTTTTTCCCCGGCGGCTGACGCGTTGAAGGCTGTGTAGGGTTCCCAGAGACTCCAAAAGCCCTTAATGAAGGGATGTACTTCAAATCATATCATTAGGGTTCACTACTTTACTTTAAGGTATATACCTTGATATACTTCATAAATCATATTAGGGTTCCTACTATACTGTAAGATATATTCCTTAATATACCTTATAAATCATATTAGGGTTCCTACTAGTCTTTAAGGTATAGACCTTAATATACTTAATAAATCATATGAGGGTTCCTACTAGTCTTTAAGGTATATACCTTACTCTACCTTAAATCATATCAGGGTTCCTACTATTCTTCAAGGTACCTTCCTTAATATACCTTATAAATCATATTAGGGTTCCTATACTATTCTTTAAGGTACATTCCTTACTCTACCTTAAATCATAATAGGGTTCCTACTGGTCTTTACTTGGAGGATCATTGGACCTAGTAAGCAAGGTTATAAGTCCTTTAGCAGAGGTTATATGTATACTTATCTTAATTATAACTCTACTTACTAAGGCCCATGATCCTTTAAGTAGGGTTCCCTAAACCCTAAACCCTAAACCCTGCTTACTAAGTCCCATGATCCTTTCAGTACGGTTCCCTAAACCCTAAACCCTAAACCCTACTTACTAAGTCCCATGATCCTTTAAGTAAGGTTCCCTAAACCCTAAACCCTGAACCCTAAACCCTACTTACTAAGTCCCATGATCCTTTAATTAAGGTTCTCTAAACCCTAAACCCTAAACCCTACTTACTAAGTCCCATGATCCTGTAAGTAAGGTTCCCTAAACCCTAAACCCTGAACCCTAAACCCTACTTACTAAGTCCCATGATCCTTTAATTAAGGTTCTCCAAACCCTAAACCCTAAACCCTACTTACTAAGTCCCATGATCCTTTAAGTACGGTTCCCTAAACTCTAAACCCTAAACCCTGCTTACTAAGTCCCATGATCCTTTAATTAAGGTTCTCCAAACCCTAAACCCTAAACCCTACTTACTAAGTCCCATGATCCTTTAAGTAAGGTTCCCTAAACCCTGAACCCTAAACCCTGCTTACTAAGGCCCATGATCCTTTAAGTACGGTTCCCTAAACTCTAAACCCTAAACCCTACTTACTAAGTCCCATGATCCTTTAAGTAAGGTGCATTCCTTACTTCAGGGGACTTTTAGTCGCCTTTGTTGCGGACCCTTAGACTTTGAGTTTTCAGGGTTTTAGGGGTTCAGGGTTTAGGGTTTGGGGGTTTGGGATTTTGGGGTTTAGGGGTTTAGGGTTTAGGGTTTAGGCGTTCAGGGGTTTAGGGGTTTAGGGGTTCAGGGTTTTGGGGTTCAGGGTTTTGGGGTTTAGGGTTTTGGGGTTTAGGGCTTCTGTTGTTGATAATATTGAACTCCTAAGCCTTTAGCCGCTAAGCCCGAAACCCCTAAAGCCCTAAACCCTAAACCCTTCTAGATCCCTATTATGGCAACTCCAACTACTGTTGATGATAGAAATCCTGCATCTCCTTAAGGACCCTAAACTATGGGAGTTATGGTATATTTCTTACTGTGGGTAATGAAGGATGGATTTATGTCATCATCCGTATGGTAGGGTCTTGGGTC